GACTACAACCTATACCTCCAGGTATATTACACAACACTCCCCCCTCACACACTCTTTGCTCTAGACAAACTAATTTACTTGCTGTTCAGAATATGCTTATAAATGTTTTACAACCAGGTTTTGTTTTTTTTAAAGGCATGCAGAACACACTTTTAGGTTTAATCTGCTTTATTAACATTTTGTCTTTCACTTTCTTAAGTCTAGACAATCAATAAAGCGATAAATCAAACCCTGATTTATATTGTTTGTCAATTTCTGAGTCTAAATGCTTAGACTGAAAATTTAACAATTGGTTTTCTTGAGCCTCTGGTTGTAGCTTTCTGGAGCACGTAGCAGCTAATACCTAACATTCCTGTGACTTCAAACAAGCAGTTTCCTATATATGCATCAAACCCTCTCCTTCACCTCCATTGGAAGGCAGGGACTGTCTTTTTGCCTTCCTTTGCATTCCAAGCATTTGTGACGGGCACAGGGTAGACATTTGATAAATGCTTATTGACTTGACCCCTTGAATCCCCTGACTCCATTTGAGACTCAGCTCAAGCGCACCTACAAGAGGTTTTGACCAATTTCCCCAGCTGTTAGTGCTTCCTCTTCCTCAGAGGCAGTTGTTCTGTATTTATTTTCTATGCATTTGCATTTACATTTACATGTTTCTATGCATTTCATTTTACTTATCTGTGTACCTGTTGTGTCCCCCCAGTAGGATGGAAGCTTCTTGTAGGCAGGCATCATTTCATTTTTGTCATGAACCTAGTGCCCTGCATAATGCATGGGGTGTCACCAGGAGCTAAATAAATGTTTGCTAAATTAAACTAACTTCAAGGAGATTTGAAGTTCAGAGGGTGAAAGTGATGACCATTAGCCTCCTTGCCTTCTTATGTGATGCTTTGCTCAAGCTTTCCCCCCACAGCTAGAATACTCTCTTTCCTGAGTGCCACTGATTAGAAATCCCGGTCCGCTTCAAGACTCAGTTCACAAGCTATGGTCTTCCCGGGACTTTTCTTGATTCTGCCATTTGTTAGTGACCTTTCCCATGACACAGAAACAATCATTTTTATTTAATTTTTATGCCAATAGACTGTTTTCCCATTTTTTTCTCCAAGGGCGTGGTTTGTTTCTTTTTCATCTTTGTATCCCCATTGCATAGTATAAAAGGTCTGGAGCATAGTAGGAACTTAATAAATGCTTGTTAAGGTAATAAAGAATTGAAAACAAAATATTACTTCACTATGAGAAACAATGATTATGATGAGTCTAGAGAAGCATGAAAAGACTTACATGAGCTGATGCAAAGTGATGTAAGTAGAGTAAGGAAGCCAAAATACACAATGACTACAACCATGTAAACAGAAAGAACTACAACAAAACAATAGAAAGTAAATATTGCAGAATGTGATTACTGAGCATGGGCCCTAAATGAAACTCCTTTGTAGTGGTAGGATATCTATGGGGTGGAACATTACATTTTCAGACTTTTCTAATGCGTTGATCAATTTAGCTGCTTTTTTTCCCTCTTTCTTTAATAAAAAAAATTCTTTGTTATTGGATGCCTTTCTGAAAGGGAGAAGGGAGAGGGATACTAGAAGAAACTTAAGTGATATAAAAACAAAAGATATCAGCAAATATTTATTTTAAAAAATAAGTTCTTTTTGACTTATGACAAGGATTCCCATTTGGAATGCCCCTGCCTTAAACTTTGTGGAGGGAACTAACTTACTGAGATTGCTACTTGTGATTTTGGTATATTATGGCTCATTCAACATTGTCTTATTGAAGGAAAGAATCAAATTTCTTATTTACATGCAGCCTGCTAAAGTTTGCAAAGTGCTTTCCTTCCAAAAACACTTGAACCTATGCTTAAAAATACTTATTGGTTAACTGATAGATGCATATGATTATCCCCACTTTATAGAAGAGGAAACTGAGATTTAGATGGATTATATGACTGGCCCAAGGTCATGCAGCTAGTGAAGGGCAAAGCAGGACATGAACCTCAACCTCAATCCCAGCAGTTTTTCCACTGCCAAACTTTCCATAAGAATTTGAGGGCCAAACTGTCATGAGACTGTGGTGTCTTTTTTTTGGAGGGTGTAGGCAATGGGGTTAAGTGACTTGCCCAGGGTCACACAGCTAGTAAGTGTTATGTATCTGAGCCAGATCTCAGCTCAGGTCCTCCTGAATCCAGGGTTGATGCTCTATCTATTGCACCACCTAGCTGCCCCGAGACTGTGATGTTTTACAGGGAACACAATCAATTGATCAGAAGAGTCTGATTGATAGTTAAGGGGATGATGGGAGGACAGGGAATAGATAGTCAGACCTCTGCTGGAAGTCAGGGAATCAAAAAAGGCCAACTTTATGCAAATTACAGAGATTATATAGTAACCATATCAGTCAATTTCTCTCTTTTCATTTTCATCCTATTGAACCAAAGGTATAGTGAGGATAATTTCAATTTCTCTAGAACATTTATTCTTTACAACTGTGCCTAATCACTGCGAGTTTGCTACCTTATAAAAGGAGGCAGCCTGGGACAGTGGAGGATGTAACAGATTTGGAGTCACAGAACCTGAGTTTGAATCCTGACTTTGTCCTCTAGTGCCTACATGATATTGGCTAAGTTTCTTTTCCTGTCTAGACCTCAGTTTCCTCATCTGTAAAATAAGAAAGTTGTGCTAGATCAAGTTTAAAGTCTCTTAATTCTAAATCTATGATCTACTCTTTCTATTTGGGATGGAAAAGGACTTATGAGGAACATACTGCTATTCTGCCATGATTTTTCTCAAAAAACACTAGGGTATTTGAAAGAAAATAACCTTTGGGAAGTTTTGAATAGGACAATTCCAGCAGGTGAAGTGTTTAGGAAGGGTGTTTTTGGGCATGTTTTAAATTTAATTTTTTTCTTGTCATATATAAAGCAAAGGCTATGATGATCCTACCTCCCCTGCATGGACTGGTAAGAAATGACTAACAAAATTACTCAGAAATACAGGCTGCTATATAAATACTGATTATACATACTCAGAATCCAAGGGAATGAATTAAATATGCTACCTGTTTGCTCTACTTAAGATTTACGTGTCTTCTGAAGTTTCTGGTTTCTTTTTTCTGGTCTTTCTACTTTAGGATAGTTCTAATCATTAGGAAGTGTGGTTTTTTTTTTAGCCTAAATCTACCCTTTTTCAACTTTTATGCATTAGTCTTCGTTTCCCTCTGGGACCAAAGAGTCTAATACTTCTTTTTATCTTTCAAGTACTTGTTATCTTTCAAGTACTTTCAAGTACTACTTTCAGCTATCATGTCCTCCCTTTCCAGCCTCTTTTAGTCCCAGCTAGACATCTTCAGTTCCTTTGGTCCATTGGCAGATGGCACAGATGAAAGACCTTCAGTATTCTGTTGGCCTCTCCTGAGTACAGTAAAGCCTGTTCTTTCTACAAATATGGTGCTCAGAATTCAACAAAATATTCCAAATGTGGTCTGACCAGGGAAGAAGTCAGTAAGATCATCAGCTCCTTATTCTTGTACACTATGCCTCTCTTAATGTAGTCCAAATGGTCTTAGCTTTATGAGTTACTATCTCACATTGTTGACTCAATCATCTTTTTTCAGATGAACTAACATGACTATTGAATCCTTGCTAGAAGGAAAGTTTTTTATTTTATTAATTTTGATTAATTTTGATATTTTATTAATATTATTTTATTTTATTAATTTGGAAATACTTCCTTTAAAGGCAGAGTACATCATTCCTAGAGCAATATGTTTAGATATAATGGAAACAAACCAATGAACAGTACAGTGCCTGGCACACAGCAGGCACTTAGTAAATGTTTGTTAACTGATTGACAAGCAATCATTTCTTGGGATAGTTTTAAAGTGCAAAAAAGTCCACAAAGCTTTGCACTTGATCACTCCATATATCTGATGTTTTTGAGGGAGCAAATCCAGCTCTGCTTTTTGAAATATTTTCACACATTACCACCAAATGCTTGTACCATGTGTACTGTCCTAGGCTAGGCACTGAGCCCTAGGGCTATGGCTCTGGGCAATTATAGCTCAGCATGCTGGAGAGCCTTACCATGTGATGGGATTGGGTAGGATACTAAAACCAACTATTTTTCAAACATATTCAGAGACTACCAGGCAGGAAGTAAAGCATGACAGAGATCAAGAAATCTTACAGGATCCCAGCTCTCATGCTCTCTTTTGAGGTGGACACAGGAGAAAAGAGTCTAAGATGCTTAAATATTTGTAAATAGGGAAGGACATTCAGGGAAGGACATGTTGAAAATAAGTCCAAAGAAGGATTCGTTCGCTTCCCATAAGCAAATTAGGATCTGGTGTCTTGTGTTATCCCATTCAAAATGTTCTCATTGGGCCCACCTTAACACATGCGTGGATTTCTAATTCTAAGTCCAAAAAAACGGATGAAGACTAAACTAGGTGTCATTAATTTCAAACGATGTTAGGATCTGGATCCACTTACTAATGAAAATCACAGCTTTTCCATGAGGGCGTTGTCTAACAGCTCAACACAGAGGAGGGATATGGCAAGGATGGCATGAAGGGTAGGGCGTTCTAGGTGGTGAAGTGGATAGAGCATTGGACTTGTAGACAGAAAAACCTGGATTCACATCTCCCCTATTAGACACTAGATGAGAGTTCCATAATTTCTCTCAATCTGAGTTTCCTCATTTGTAAAATGGGGATAACAACAGCCTCTACCTCTGAGGATCAAATGAGATAATGTATGTAAAGTGTTTTGCAAATCTTAAGGCTCTTTTAAATACTAGCTATTATCATGATTACCTCACTTTCATCTTTCAGCCCAATAGATCAGTTGGCATTACAGCTGATTCCTCCTATAATTGAAGACCTCCTAACTTGGCCTTTCTTCTATTTTCCAGACATAACAAGCAGACTAGGAAAAAGAATCATATCCCTAGATAAAACATATTTTTAAAATGTCTTAAGAATCAAGGAAGACCCACATGAGGTTGATGTTAATATATAGATGTGAATTTAATACATAACATATGTGATAGTGGTTACATAATATGTTTGTTGATTTATTCATCACAATATATGTTAGGATACATAAAACATTGGATAACAAAATGAGGAGGAAAATACAAATGTCCCTGTAGCAGATGAATACATGTCAGATCATAGATTTCCAAACCCCTTCTCAGTACTTGGGTTGTATGAAATAAAAGCAAAGTGAAATTGAGAGTTGAGGTAAATATCAAATTGGGGGCCACCCCTCCCCTTAGTCCTGCTTTTGAGGAAGGGGAAATGCCCTTTTAATCAAATTTATCGGGATGACTTGATTTTACTGTTTTGAGCCACTGTCAAATTCTCCAACTCTCCATTCTGCCTATGTCAATGTGACCTTGAACATTTCCCTTCATAGTAACAAGGGTCTTTAAAGTTGCCCATTTTCTTAGCCAGACAGCTAGTTCCCATCCACTACCTCAACTTCTCTTTGTCAGGGGCTAGGTTGGAGGGCAAGGACAGCTTTGGAGAAGAAATGAGAAGCTTCAAGGAAAGAAGAGGGATAGATATTCTTCAAGGAACTCATTTAAATTGGCCATACCTATTGTGGAATATATTGATAGTTTGTTCAACAAAAAAATCAAAGAGTAAGTGGATTAACATTAAGCAATACAATTAAAATTAAGTTTCTAAAGTGTTTTTTTTTATTTTGGATTTTTTTCTCTTAAAATCTTACGCAGACTTTCATTCAGTTTCAAGAACCTTATCTCAGATGGAAGATTAGCTGTCTTAGAGATAAACCCCTCTGGCAGGACCCGGACATGCCTCCTGGGGAAGAAGGATGGGTTTACCACCAGCAGCTTCAGGAGGGATGTTTGAAGTGAAAGGTGAAAAGTGAAAGGCTCACTCCAGATGTAACTACGTGACAATCCCATTTAGGGGGTTTTTGAGTTTCACTATGATCCCAAGCCATGAACCCTCAAAGAGTTAGCAGGCTCTTGGGGTTCAAACTCCTTGGGTCATGGAAGCTTTCCAACCTCCCCAGTCCAAGCTCATGCCTTCTCAGCTCACTCCAGACCAACTGGAATGAACACCTGGTCTCAGACATTCTTTGTTGTAATCAGAGGTCTGCCCAGAGTTAAAATGCAGCTCCTATCTAACCATTTTTCCATCATTCAGTGAACTGTGAAGGGTACTGATTAAGAAGCAAGTGCCTTCCAAACAATCTGAAAAGTGGCAGTATTTGGGCTTTGTATAAATCAGGGTCTGATGGCTTGTTCAAAATTGTTTCCTAGCCATTAAGAGTAACTTCTTTTTTTCTTGGTGATTTGTGGGAAGAACTTAGCATGCAGCTTTGACTCCCTTTAATGAATGGGGGACACATACATCTGGCACACTTCTCCCTAGCTCATCCCTGTCTGCCAGGAAGGGTGAGGCCAAGTTCAGCTAGATAGGACATTTTTTTATGGAAGGAAGTTCTTTTCCTGAAACATTCTTGGCCAACAAGATGATCAAAAAGCATACAAGCTATGGCTCAGTGATGAAATTAATGCTCTTTAAGATTCTTTTTAAACAATGCTGCTTAAGCAGATTCAATAATCAGGAGGAGGAAGGGAGAACACATCTGCAGTCACACAGTCCTCATAGCACTGAGCAGAGGATGAAGCATGGAATGGAAGCCAAAATGATTGGATCAGAATGTGTCTGTTCCCCAGAAGCAGGCCAGCTCTGGTGCCTTGAAGCCGGAAGGCTTTGGTTAGCCTAAACTATGGGTGACATCACAATCCAGTCAGATTGCTTCAACATTGGCCCCATAATTAAATTAGTGGGAGATTGTGTGGGCATTTCAGTTTTAATCAGAGGCATGGGAATGGATGGTCTTGCTGGTATGCATATTAGGTACAAGCTCTAATTTTATAGAACTCAACTCTAATTTTATAGAAATTGGAAAATGAAAGGTGCACAAATTGAGACATTTAGTTGGTATTGTACTGAATGATCTGGAACCAGGGAATCTTAACTTAGAGAAAAGGAAAAATCACATTGTTTTCATACATCACAGCTTGTCAACTGCCATCTTTATCTCAACCTCAATTTTGCGTACAATGAATTTATTTTGGGGAAATGCAGCGAGAAAAACTACATAAAGTCACTTTTCTCACCAAGTTTCAACTATCCCTTCACAATCATAATGATCATGCAAGCTTATCTGTCCAGGATATGACTGAAGGGGAGAAGGAGGTCCCGAACGTTGTTTATAACTTCATTTAGCTCTTTTTTTTTCACAGTGCCTGGGCTAAATTGCCTTGGCTTCTCTGAAAATGGACCCCCTCACTTCAAAACATCTCCATCTGAGAGCTCAGTTGAGAGAAAGAAGGAGAGAGGGGGAGAGAGAGAGAGAGAGAGAGAGAGAGAGAGAGAGAGAGAGAGAGAGAGAGAGAGAGAGAGAGGAAACGTGTTTCTATGTGTCTCCACTCAGGAATATGTCCATGCAGACTTATAGCAAACAAATGGGAACAACATAACCTGTATTTTACTTCACAATCGTTGTCCTATTTCTTTTTCCCAGCCCTGCCTCAGCCCATGTTCTGACCCAACTGAAACCCATAACAAACCCAGGCAGTAAAAGGTCTAGTTTCATGGCCTAGTCTTCATTTTTTTTTTGTCTGGGAAGAGAAACATATTCCCCACTGCTGTTGACCCTTGTTTGCTTCCTCCACCATCCACAACCTCACACAGGCCAAACCCACTTACAGCCGCAGTTATATTTTCACAAGGAAGGAAAATGGAAGCATCACAGTGCTCCCTTGTTATTAAGTCTCATGCTTTCCCAGGCAATTTGCTCAAGGGAAAAGAGGGGAAAAGATGCAAGACTATTAGATTTTAAAAAATTCTCGAATAAATATCTCAACTCCTCCTGTTCCCCAGAAAAAGAAATTATTTTCATTGTGTTTCTATGGAAACTGCTTGTAACACAGCGATTTTTTGGTAAATACTCTTTTTGTCTGATTCTTTAAATAAAAGAGATTCTCAGATAAGTTTTTTCAGAGATTTAAAAGTACTTAGATTTTTTTTTCAAATTTGAGTTTCAGCATTTTTTCTTGTTTATGGTCTTTTCTACTTACTTCATCTATTAGGAGGATGTCTGTCTGACATTTAAAAACATTACCACATTTAATTTGGGGGTGTCTACTGAAAAGAGCTGGTTTGACAGGCATGGAGACAAACATACTATTAGCTCCTTGTCCTCGTGCTCATGCAGTTCAGGAAAAAAATCTAGAAAAAATAGTTCTTACCCTTCTCCCCGACAATTCTACTCCATCATCCTGTGTGACCCCAAACAGATACAAAAAGAGACTAAAAAGTCAGGTTCCAAGTAAGTTAAAATAGCAGAACATTTGATATATTCTAGACAAAATGCATGGATTTTTGGCTGAATTGTTTTTACTCTTTTGTAGACATTTTGACACAATTAAAACCTGTCTCCAAGTGTCCTCAGTCTTTTTAAAACTCCAGGTTGCCAAAGAGGGTCCCACTTTCCCTGAACCCCCCCCATGAAGGCCTGAACCACATAGCCCAAGAGGTTGTCACATTTTTCTACTTTTTTCTTCCTGCCTGTGTTGACAGCTACTTTGGAAAACGTAGGCTAATAAATATACCTTTAGGTTTTCTTTTCTTGTGGTTGGTCTGCACATACCCACTCAACAAGTAATTGTCTAACCCTAGGCTTCACATTCTCATTGCAAATCTTTTTTTTTTAAAAGCCATTGAATAAATTCCTGGGTGCCTGAGCTGTTGGAACAAAGAGTTATCCAGATCAGGACACTAGGGAAAGTGAGGGTTCATGGACAGACACAGTTATCTAGACATAGAGTCATTCTTCACTGTGTCATGGATTGATTGTGTTTGAAGTGAGCACCTGACCGAGGATGACAGATTCATAGCATACATGAAGGAAACTGTGAGCAGTGACTTTTGGTTATTCTACCTACCTCATCCCCCTCCACCTTGACATTTGCTAGATGTGATGCAATGGCTCATCAGGAAAGACGAAGTATCCTGTGAAAACTCTGCATGGGTGTGGATTAGCATTAGGGTTAGCTTTATCTTAAAGCATAGGGTGATATTGGGAGAATCCTTTCATTATCCTTAAGAAACAACTGAATAAAAAAGAAATAATCTTATGGAAATAGAGGACTGACAAATACAAAAACAAATGGAAAAAAGGGATGGGAAAGGGGAAATAGATTGCTGGAAACTAAACAATTTATTCTTTCTGCTTTAAGTACAACATACATTTTATTCCTCTCGCTAGCATCAGAATCCTTCTTCTTTGAGTGAAATTCATCATCAAAACCTCAATTGCCCCGATAAATTTGTTCAAAGACATGATTTAAATATGCTCAGACTTCCAGATTCATTTTTATGTCACAACAATTTGAAGAAAAATGATTTTGGCACATCTACTACAGGGAAAAGAAATAGAACAAGGTTGCTTACCATACTAAAATAGACAAGAGTACAAACATACCACAAAATACCTTGGTACCATGAGTTAAGAGCTATATCAGGCATCTTGGGGTCATGCATGGCTACTGTGATTATGAGTTCATTAGTGCTGATAGCAGAAATTGGGGGAAGAGTTTGGGTTGCTAAAAGACCACATTGTTTTGGAAAATACTGACTACTCCATCTCCCTCTAGCTCTAGGGATAGTCACGGTAACTTTTCCCAAAAAAATAAGAGTGTTCAAAGATAGTATTATTTCTACTAATTAACTATGATGGTATTGGGGAGTAGGTACATATGTTAGGTAGGTCTACATGCTTTATAGTTTTTAGATACTTCTCCCCTTTTTCTAGGTGTAAACAATTGATCAACCAAGGGAGATTAAGTATTCTGTGACAATGTTCAATTCAGAGCGTATGTGTGACTGGGAAGGAAGGGGGTACTTGGGATCTTTATCCTTTTTTTTAAAGAATAAAGTACTATTATCACTGTCCTCATTTGTTCAAGGTCTCAGGAATGGTTAGAATGAGGGCTGGGCACCCCAAAGACTAGGCCATGGAATAATTGTTACAGACAGACCATTTCCCATTTCTCCCCATCTATACTATTTCTCATTTCATTAGATCACAAGTTGGTTCTGCATTCTGCCACAGCCATCCCCTTAACAATGAGATTGAATAGAAGTGGATTTTATTTTGCACAACTTGGTGTTTGAGGTATTAGAAATTTTCGTTTTCTGATATACAGAAGGCAATTTGAAAAATCATCTTTTGAACCAAGACCTTGGACTAAAAAAGACCATATTGTCACTATTGCACTGATGTTTGCACAGTATAATCTAGTGTTTTCTTTGTAAGGGAAGAAGCCTCTAGAACTTAGACTGTTTTTATATGGACATAAATGATTGATAATAGTATTTTTAACTTTCAGCCTACATGAAGATGCTGAGGGAATATACAAAATTTTAAAGAGTATCTTTTTAAAAAAGTCCAAACCCATCATTTCATCTAGCAAGAGATCTTCTCTATGAATACAGATCAGCACTTGTTCAGTAATTTGTAACCTAAGAGAGTTGCCTGGCCCTCTTCAAAGTTAAGTGACTTTGCTGTGTGTGTTTGAAGGAGATCTTGAACCCTGGTCTTTGGGATTCCAAGGCTGGCTCTCTAGTCAGTGCTCCATGCTGTCTTTCAACAACTTAAATAATATCTGTTTAAGAAAATAAAGAGCGGGCTACTTCACAAGATCTCTGCCTCTTCCTGGATATACATGATGGTTCAGAAATGCCTGAAGAAATAATGGCACTCATTCTGGCATTCTTGTTCCCTCTGGGTCATGGAAACAACAACAAGAAATCTATTTGACTACCTCTTAACTACTTTTATATAATTAGACCTGTTGTCAACCCAGTTTGTAATCATCTGGTTGCATTATCTGAACTGGATTTGCCCACATCCTTCATTACAGTCAATTCTCCTCGTTTCCCCTTGCTTTTGTTCTGACATGGGAAACCTTTTAGCACATTGCATGACTGATCTGAGTAGATGATGAGGCTCTATGTCCTATTCATACGAGGAGAGAAGAGGCTGGATGACCAGCCTCAAGAATATAGTGGAAAAGATCATCATTCAGGCCTGCACTGTACTGGACAGTCCTTGTGGATGCCTTCCAATTCTGAGATTCTGAGGTTTTATACTTTATGAGCAGGAACACTGGTCAAACTTGAGTATATCCAAAACAATGTGGGGGAAAATATCTTAGCAACACCACCTGGATGTTTTCAGGTTGGGTGATCATCAGGGTACGTCTACTATGGAAAACTTTGTAGGTTACTGGAAAGAAAGAGGGAGGTTGCTACTGGGCAAAAAAGACTCCCAAGATGCCTTTCACATTGCTACTTGATCAGTTCCTGATAAAACTCCGATCGGATGAATCTCGGCAGGGAATCCTTCTCCATTAGGGCATGGATCCTCTTTTGGGCCATGTCAAAGCTACTTGGTGAAGGTTCCACCAGGTTCTTCATAGTCACGGCCTTAGTGAAATGGTCAATATTCACCTGCAGAGAAGAACACAGGGAGGGAAACTTCAATCTTCATAGCTTGTCTGGAGAGGAAAATATCTCAAGAGTCATCCTCCACTCATCACTCATCCTACCCATCAGTTGCCTAGACTCATTGATTTTTATCTCCCCAACCTTTTTTCTTTCAATTGTCCCTTTTTGTTCACTGACATGGCTACTACCCAAGTACAGGGTCTCTCCATACCTTACCTGGACTACTGCAACAATTTCTTGATTTTTCTCCCGGCTTCTTGTCTCCCATTTATCCTCCACCCTGCTCCCAAAATGATATTCCAACCATGTTACTGCACTGCTCCAGAAGCCTTAGTGAATCTCTGTTGCCTCCCCAGAGACATAATAACTAATAATAAGTCTCCAGGGTTAACAGATGTTTCATCCAACGTAAGGGCTTTGGAATAAGGATAAAATACAACTTATCTGTTTGGCATGCAATACCTGTCAGAGTCTGGCTCCAATCTATTTCTTTTCAGACTTGCTCCACTTATCCACATAATTCCTTCTCATGCATTTAAGTTCCAGCCAAACTGCCCTACTTGCTGTCTCCTGTCCTACCTGAGAGCATTTGCACAGGCTTTCTATCTATCCTCCGTGCCTAGAATATTCTGCCTTCTTCCCCTGTATCTTTTGGAATTCCTAGTGCCTTTAAGGTTCAGCTCAGGTGCTTTCTCCTACACAAAACATTTCTTGATTCTCTCTCAGTCCTGCCCTTATTAGTATTCTCTGACCTCCCCAATTACTTTGCATTGAGTTTGCATATACTTTGAATTTATTTATCTGTGTTTTGAGTACTGTGAATTTAATAGTAGCTAATATTTAATATTAATAATAATAGCTCTATCCATTGTACCACCTAACTGTCTCTAATTTACTTACATGTTGTACTCCTCTATTAGAATCTAAGATCCCTGATGGCTGGGGCTATTTTGTTCTCATCTTTCGTATACCAAGCCTAGAACAGTACTTGGCATATAGTAGGTATTTATTTAACAAATGCTTGTTGAGGGGGCAGCTAGGTGACACAGTGGATAGAGCACCGGCCCTGGAGTCAGAAGGGAGGACCTGGGTTCAAATCTGGCCTCAGACACATAACACTTACTAGCTATGTGATACTGGGCAAGTCACTTAACTCCAATTGCCTCACCCCCAAAAAAGGCTTGATGAATTGAAAGAATTTGCAGTCAGAACTTGATTTGAAAGCTCTGATATTTACTAGCGTCTTTTCCGTCATCTGAAAAAAAGGATGGGAATAAAATTGGTTGTACCACTAGAGATGATCTGGAGTAGCACATATGCCAGTGTTGGCCTTGAAATCAACAAAATTAGACTCAGCTCCTGCCTCTAATGTTCACTAACTAGGTGATTCTGGGAAGGTCATTTAATATCTCTATGTTTCAAGTTTCACACCTGTGAAGTGAAGATAAAAAAATCTTCCTGCCAGGTGCCCGTGAGGCTCAAAGGAGAGAGCAGATGAGCTAAGCTTTGGAGAAAGAGAGAGAGAGTGCAATGTCAGCTCTTCATATTACCTGCCACACAGGGTTGTTGTGAGGAAAGCATCTGGTAGCCCTTGAAACAAGATGGAAAGGTGGGCTATAATTCTATTAGAATAGGAGAGATAAAAAAGTAAGAGATAGAAAATGGTGACTAGGGGCATGGAAAACTTGGGCAGGAAAAGATTTCCAAGTTCAAATTAGGAATAATATTTATATGGCACTTACTATGTAATAGGTGTTCTATAATCTGTCTCATTTGATCTTCACAACAAAACTGGGATACAGAAAGGACTGTTATTAACCCCAGTTTATAGATGAGGAAACTGAGGCAAACAGGATTAAGTGACTTGCCCAGGGTCACACAGTTAGTGTCTGAGGGCTGGATTTGAACTTAGGTCTTCCTGACTCCAGGCCTGTGAGCTATCCATTGAGCCACATAGCTGCCCTGGAAATGGCAGCTCTGACAGCTGAGCCAGATGTATAACCTGTAGGATCCTTACATGATATTCTGTGGTCAAGAAATGGGCAAATGCTTACTTCAAATGAAGCTTAAATAGTTTGTTAGAGATATGGACAGGGCCTGGACCTGTGATTTCATTAGTAGATGAAGAAATTCCCTCTGTCAATGCAAGTTTGCACATCCTCTGGGGCTTATGGGCTTAGTGAGATGAGTAGAACACTGAGTGGTTAAGAGACTTGCCCAGGATTACATAGCCAATATATGTTAGGGAGGACTTGAACCCAGGTCTTCTCAGCATGGAGGGTCACTCTCTATCCACTATGCCATGCTATGTCTTCTAAAAAGTTTATTAGGCTAGATCCAAAATAAAGAAAATGAAGTATCTGCTAGTTATCCTGAATTGGAACACTAGGGAGCGCTGTAGGTCATGTGTGTGATGCTCATGAGTTTCCATGGGCTAAGCCCAGGAGCCATAAAGTAGGAGACAGCTCAAAAAATAGCAGAAAGACTTCAGAGACATCAGACCAGGGCAGAATAAGTTACTGAAAAGGAGAGTTTGACTTAGGAAACCAGGATTAAGCAGCAAAGTGTACAGTAAAAGAAGATGGACCTTCTATTCCCTTTGGCACAGCCAAGTTCACACACATTCTCAACATGGGACCTACGTCCTCAACGGTCCTCAATAAATATTTGTTAAATTGAATTGGATAATTGAGCTGGTCTCTAAGGTCAAGTCTAGGTCTTAACATTCTATAGTTTTGAAGTGTACAGTATCTTCTCTGATGCCAGAAGAATAAATGATCAGGCAGACATTTACTAGCTATGTGACTCTGGGAAAATCACTTTACCTATCTCAACCTCAGTTTTCTCATTTGTGAAATGGAAATAATAATAGCACATACCACATATTATTGTTGTGAGGACCAAATCAGAAAATACATTTATTTGTATTATGTACTTTGCAAACCTTAAAGCAAAATATATAAATGTCCCCTTACACTTGTGTTCAACTCACCAAATGGTTTTTAAATGCCTACTCTATTGTGTGCAGAGTACTGTGATGGATGCTAGGAAAGAAACTTTTATATAAGATAGAATAACCCTACCCTATGGAGCTTATAATCTAGTAGGATGGCAAGACACATCATAACCATAGCACACACTAATACACATTAAGTGCATTACAGAGGCACAGAACAAAGTACTATTTGAAACCGAACCAAGAAGGTTGACAGAGGAAATCAAAGAAGTCTACATGGAAGGGGAGGCATTTGAGTTGTGCTTTTAACTACCTTGTATTTAACAACTTTGTCACATGAACAAATACAGATGTATGTTTTTATTCACTTTAAAGGGGGAAGCTAGGGGGCACAGTGGTGGATAGAATGCTGGGTCTGGAGTCACGAGAACCTGAGTTTCCATCTAGCCTCAGACACTTACTAGCTGTATGACCCTGAGTAAGTCATTAACTCTGTTTGCCTCAGTTTTCTCATCTGTCAAATGAACTGGAGAAGGAAATGGCAAACCACTCCAGTATATCTGCCAAGAAAACTACAAATGGGGTTACAAAGAGTCATACAGGACTGGACAACAACAACAAATTGATCTACTTTACACTTAAGTTCTATGTATGTGTATAAGTACTTGGCTTCCCCATGGGAATGCAAGTAGGGAACTTGAATCCCTAAGCCCAGCCCAAGTGCCTGACACTAGGTGCTTAATAAATGTTTATGGACTGTTTGAGGGATTGATGAGAGTTCTTCAGGAATGGCTATGGTGGGTTGAGGAGATACAAAGTAATCTAGATTGATTGGAATACAGAATGCATGGAAGAGGGCTAATGAGAGGAAGCTGAAAAGGTAGCATTCCCATGGATGGTGGAGGGCCTCAATTACCCTCTAAAGATGCTTAAACTATACTAAGTTTGGAAAAGGGAAGAATGGCACAAGCAGAGGTAAGGAGACGTAGCTGGGCACCAGAACACAAAAGACTGGAAGGTCAGCAGACATGTTAGAAAGCTATTGTAACAGTCCAGGAGGGAACTGATGGAGGCTTGTCTTAGGATGGTGTCCATGGGAAGACTATTTTAAATGTAACTGTAAGAGAATATCTCAATTACATATGAGCCCCTTGGTCAGCCCCCACATCCCAGCCTCTTCTGACGTATGGCTTCTCTCACACAACCCTTGGACCAAATGAAACATCTGCAGACCCCGGAGACTCATCAGGACTGATGTTAGGTATTCTAGCTCTAGGAAAACATTGCCTTCACAGTCCCTTGTATAAACACAGGGGCATCTTAGGTAATGATGCTATAAAATCATGGCTTCTTTAGCCGATAGAATAAAATACCATCAAAAATATGACACCAGAGAAGGGGTCCATGGACCAAGCTACTCCTTGGTGACCTACAACCAGCAATTCCGAATTATCTTGCAACTAGGTGGTTCAGAGGATAGATCCAGTATTGGCTTGGGAGGTCAGAAAGACCTAGATTTGAATCCTGCCTCAGATAGCTCTATCTGGGTGAACCTGGCCAAGTTACTTAGCTTCTCACTCTCAGTTTTCCCCTCTATAAAATAGAGGCAATACTAGCATCTATCTCTTGTGATTGCTGCAACATACATAAAACTCTCTGCAAACCTTAAAGTACTACATAAATGTTTTTTAAAATGTCAACCACCTGTACTAATGGAAGGCAATTTGGAACAAGCAGGTAATTCCCCTAATCTTATGTTTAGGGCTTAGATTGTACTATTTGATTTATAAGTGTAGCAGATTGATCAACTGGCAAGGACTTTCTGTGATCCTGTTCTAGGCACCAGAGTTATAAAGATGAAAGGAAGACATTCCTTTCCCTGGAGAAATTATATTCTATCAGGAGAGACCTCAACAAAAGGGAAGGGGATGGGAATTAACAGTGGGGACAAGCAGAAGTCCTCTAGAAGCTGTTAATTGAGCAGAGTTTTGAAAAAAAAAGAACCAAAGGATTCTAAGAGGTCAAGATGGAGTGGGAATGTGTTACAGAGGGAAGGCACAGCTAGTTCAAAGGCAAAGTCAGATGGGGAAAGGAAGGAAAAGGAACAAGCATCTACTGTGTGCTAGTCACCATGCTGAGCTTTTCTGTTTGTTTGTTTACAAATATTATCTCTGTTGTTATCCCCATTTTACAGATAAGGAAACTGAGGCAGATAGCTAGTAGCCAAAGGATCATGGGTGATCAAGATCAGTTGAGCTTCCCAATTGTGGAATTGCTAATTATCTCTCTAGGCCTCAGTGTCTTCATATGTAAAAGAGAGGTTTTGCATTAGACAATCTCTAAGATCCCTTTCTCCCTCTGAATGTTATGATCCCATGTCCACAAATTACCCACACTCTGCAGCCCTCAAGGGCACAAGGAGGGAAGGTGTTTAAGAGAGATCAGGCTCTGGAGTCCCAGCACTAACTACCTAAGAGGTGATGCTACGGGACTGAACAGTCCCCAAGTAGCATCTCTGTTCTTCTCTCACAGATCCTCACTTCCTGCCTCATTCTATGTAGAGCAGAAGATGACCAGACCGCAGTGGTGGCTGATGGAAACAGCCATGGACAACAGTGCATTCACCAAGAATTCCTGCCTTATTCTGTTCATTTGGTTTGAATCTCATCCAATTTACCCCTTCCAAAATGGTCCTCCTCCCCCTTGCTATCCTTACTTCAACATTCAATGCTCAAGCCTCTCCTTCCCACTATAACTTCCAAACTTCTCGACTCTTTGGTGATTGCCCTGGAGCTGGTCCATCCCAGTAATGCTCACTCGTTTACCAGGTTAAACCAACCTCTTTAGGAGCCTCAGTTTGGATGAATTCTTCATAAATTTTCTTTGCCTTCTCAGCCATCTTGATGGGTGACTTGGTCTTCTTATAATCCTCACAGGCAATCCAGAACTCAATGTTCTCCTCACTGAACTCAGATTCAGGAAACTCTTGAAACTGGCAAGTCCATCTAGCCAGGAGGAAGACAAATAGAAAAGCTGAGATGCTGTTGGGTCTATCCTTGAGGAATTTTCTGGATTTGTGGTCAGAGAGTCAAACAGAAAGCTGGAACCTTTTATTTCAGACTTTTCTCTGAAGCTCAAAACTAGAGCATCAAGGGATAGAGGGATAGCACACCTTTGTATACTAAAGAGGGACAGGAAGTAAAGAGAAGAGAGAATGACAAGTCAGTCCCTAAATATCTATTAAGGGCCACCATGGGTCAGGCACCATGCTGAGCATTATAGACACAAAAAAAGGTAAAAGACAGTTCTGCTCTCAAGGATCTCACAGTCCGTTAGGGGAGACAACATGTAAACAACTGTGTACAAATAAGCTACATACAGGATAAATTAGAAATAATACACAGGGAAGGAACTAGCTGCTGCTGGTGGTCAGGCTTCCTGTTGAAAGTGGGATTTAAGGGCAGCTAGGTGGTGCAGTGGATAGAGCGCTGGCCCTGGATTCAAGAGCACCTGAGTTCAAATCTGACCTCAGACACATAACACTTACAAGCTGTGTGACACTTAACCCCATTACCTAGCCGAAAAAACAAACAAACAAACAAACAAATAAAAACCAAAGAAAGTGGGATTTAAGTGGGACTTGGAGGAAGCCAGGAGGCAGAGATGAAGAGGGATAGCATATAGAACACAGAAAAATATTCAGACTTGGTCAAGGAGTGTCTTATGTGAAGGTAACAAGGAGGCCATTGTTACTGGATTAGAGAGTCCATGGTGGGGGTGGGGGTTAAAGTATAATAACTCTGAAAAGTTAAGGGGACAGGTTTTAAAAGGCTTTGCATGCTAAATCGAGGATTTATGTTTGATCCTGGAGATGATATTGGTGGGCGGGCAGGAGAGGATTGCCTCTGGAGTTTATCAAGTAGGGGGTAACATGATAAGACATGCACTTAAGGAAGATCACTTTGACAGCTGGGTGGAAGCTGAACTGAAGTGGGGTCAGTCTGTAGCAGACAGACCAACCAGTGGGTTATTACAATCATTCAAGCATGAGGTACTAAGAGCCTGCCCAGAATAGCGGCTGTGGAACAGGAGGGAAGGAGGTGTATTTGAACTATGTTAGAAAGGTAAAGTTGACAGACCTTTGCTCCAGGTTGGATATGGGGAGGGAGTGGGAGAAAGCAGGGAGTCATGGATAACACCTGAGAAGATAGTGGCACCCTCAACAGTAATAGAGAACTTAGGAAAAGGAGAGAGTTTAGGGAGAAAGAGAATGAGTTCAGTTTTGGACATGTTGAGCTTAAGATGTCTATGCAACATCCAGGTTGAGATGTCTGCAAGTCAGTTGGAGATTTGAGACTGGAGTTCAGTAGAAAGGTTAGGGCTGAATAAATAGATTTGAGAAGGATCAGCATAGAGATGATAGTTGAATCCATGGGAGCTGATGATATTGCCAAGTGAAAAAGAATCAAGAGAGAAGAGACGTGAGCCCAGGATGGGACCTTGTGAGATACCCACTGTTAGCAGGAGTAACCTAGATGAAGATCCAGCAAAGGAGACTGAGCAGTGGTCAGATGAGTAAGAAGAGAACCAGGAGAAAATGGTATCACAAGAACTTAGAGAGAAGAGAATATCAAGAAGAGGGTGATTGACAGTGTCAGAGTTTGCAGAGTGGTCAAGAAGGATGAGGGTTGAGACAAATCATCAGATTTGGTCATTGAGTGATCGTTAATAACCTTGTAGAGAGGAATTTCAGCTGAATGATGAAGTCAGAAGTCATATTGTAGAAAGTTAAGACAAGTAACAAACAGGTCCCCTCTACTCTTTGACCCATACTGCCTGGTGTCTGAACGTTCTACCCCTCCCCTCCTATTAGAGCAGGAGCTCCTTGAGGGCAGACATTGTGTCACTCTTCGTACTTGTATCCCCAGTTCCTAGCACAGTTGCTGACACAAAGTAGGCACTTAATATATGCCTGTGAATAGAACAAAAAGAGATCAATACTCATTTTACAGTTTAATATAAATGTTTCAAAGTGCTGGGACCAATGGAACTTATTAGAAACTTATTCCCAGGAAGCATCAGGGATAGAAGAGGTTGTATTTAATGTGTTCACTGGTCACCAGCTCCCCCCATCTCAGACACCCAATCCTAGAACCTACCAAGACTGAGTGGTCCCAACCAACTTATGACATCCCTATACTGCATTCGTGCATGATCAGGACCTGTTTCATTTTTGTCTTTGAGTCCCCAGTTCCTAGCAGTATTTTGTAGACAACAGGTGCCTGATAAATGTTTGTCAGTTTGAATCACATATCTTCTGCTTTTTATGTAGCATAATCATCTCTTCACAACTTAAAAACATCTATAGAACACACTGTCCATGAGTTTCAGCCTCTTTTCCTCTTCCCTACCTCTCCATTCCTAAGTCACAAAGTAGTGAGAGGAATGGACTCTCATAAGAAGAAAAGAAGGGAATGCAAATCCAGGCATTCTCAAGCACATTTGTATGTATTTATCCATGACAGTGGACATATGAACATGATAGACAATGGGGGAAAGTACCAAAAGAAGAAAGAACATTCCAATTTTCCATGAGTCCAACTCAAATAATATTATTAAAAACTTTCCATTAAAATTAGAAGTTTTAAAATTAGATTAAAATGAAAAGCTTTCTAATATCACTTTGCCTCCAGAGTGGGGAATCCAAGGAAAAACCTCAGCTACAAATTTATAAATACTTCCTAAGTGTAGGAGGGAAGAAGAGAAGGATTAGCTTCCCAAGATCCATCTCTTGGGAATGATATGCCCCAGGAAAGTCACAGTATGCTTTGTTCACCCATCACTATTTTTATCCACATGATATCAGGTTGAATTTAACATCACAGGGAGCTTTGAAGGAAAAAAGAAATCACCAAACATCCATCTTGAGGATGGGCATAGTAGCAAGTAGAGGGCAGCTCATTCCTTTGCCTTAGTGATGAGGAAGAAGAAGGGGAAAGGAGTTTGTATGCCTATCGACATCGGGTAATTTTCAGTACTAACTGGAATGGGAGAGCTCTCTTCCTTTCCCCTTGGGAACCAGCCCTACTTTTCTTCACCAAGTCTTGGTACTGTAGTACCAGCATTCCTCTGGCCAAAAACAAAAAACAAAAAACAAAAAAACCAACAAACCACAAAACAGCTCTGGCCCATTGAAGTCCCTTCTAGAGTTTACAGATTTATTTATTTATTTTTACATCTTTTTATTGGTCAGGGTCTTGGCTATAAGGTATGAATGTGAATCAATTTTGTATTTGCATCTTCATGATTTTTTTCTTATTTAATATTTTATTTTTCCCAATTACATGTAAAAACAATTTAAACACTTAAAAAAATTAAGTTCCAAATTCTTTCCCTTTCCCCCCCATTGAGAAATCAAGCAATTAGACATAGATTATACATGTGTAGTCATTCAAAACACATGTTCGGGTAAGTCATTCTGTGAAAGAAAGCAAGCAAAAAAAGAAAAAAAAAGAAAAACTACCTTTGATCTGCATTCAGGCACTACCAGTTCTTTCTCTGGAGAGGGATAGCACCTTTCATCATAAGTCCTACAGAATTGTCTTAGATCATTGTATTGCTGTTATTCATAGTAGATAATAATACAAAATTGTTGTTACTATGTACAATGTTCTCCTGGTTCTGCTCACTTCATTTTGCATCAATTCATGTAAGTCTTTCCATGTTTTTCTGAGAGCATCCTGCTCTTTATTTCTTAAAGCACAATAATATTCCATCACAACCATACACAACAACATTTTCATTCATTCCCCAATTGGTGAGCATTCCCTCAATTTCCAATTCTTTGCCACCACTAAAAGAACTGCTATAAATATTTTTGTATGCATAGGTCCTTTTCTTTTTCTTTTTCTTTTTTTTTTTGTTTCAATATCTTTGGGATACAGGCCTAGTAATGGTATTGCTTGGTCAAAAGATATGCATGGTTTTATAGCCCTTTGAGCATCATTCCAAATGGCTCTCCAGAATGGTTGAATCAGGATAGAACTTCACCAATAGTGTATTAATGTTTTAATTTTCCCACATCCCCTCCAACATTTGTCATTTTCCTTGTTTGTCATATTAGCCAATCTGACAAGTGTGAGGTCGTAGCTCAGAGTTGTTTTAATTTGCATTTCTTTCATCAATAGTGATTTAGAGCATTTTTTCATATGACAATAGATAGCTTTGATTACTTTGTCTGAAAACTGCTTGTTCATATCCTTTGACCATCTATCAATTGAGGAATGGCTCTTGTCTGTGTAAATTTGACTCAGTTTTCCATATGTTTGAGAAATGAAATCTTTATCAGAGAAACTTACTGTAATTTTTTTTTTACAGTAATGATTACCAACCGTGGATTTCCCTCCATCCTATTTCCACCCATTTATCCTACTCTCACTCTCATTTTACCTGTCAATTCTCAAAAGTGTTTTGCTTCTGACTTTTACCTGCCCTCTCTTCTGTCAGCTCTCCTGCATTCTTCTCTTATCCTCTTCCCTTCCTACTTTCCTGTATAGTAAGAAAGATTTCTACACCCAATTGAGTGTGTATATCATTCCCTCTTTGAGCCTATTCTGATGAGAGTTCATGTACTCCCTTCCCCATTTCCCCCAAATTCCCCTCCATTGTTAAATATCTTTCAGGTTTCTTTTGTGCTAGATAATTTATCCTATTCTATCTCTCCCTTTCCCCTTCTTCTGGTGCATACTTCTTTCTCATCCCTTAATTTTATTTTTTTAAGATAATTGTACCATCCCATTCAATTGACTCCTCTGCTTTCTATCTATATATACTTCTTCTTACCGCCCTAATAATGAGAAAGTTTTTAGGAGTTATAAATATCATTTTCCCATGTAGGAATATAAATGGTGTTACCTTATTGAATCCTTATCATTTTTCTTACCTGCTTACCTTTTCATGCTTGTTCTGTATTTTGTCTTTGAAAGTCAGATTTTCTATTTAGCTC